AGCCTTTTCTTCCTTTGTTCTCTCTCTCTCTCTTGTGTGTGTGGGTTGTATATTATAAATAGGAAAAAAAAAGAATAATGAAGAAAAGATTAAGATTCGGATTAGGAACGGAAAATAGGAAATTTGTTGTTGATTGGTTAAATAGAAACATAAATTTATATTTTGTGAATTGATTTAAGTTACAGTGGGGCCTCTGTAACATTTTCTATCTCAGTTTTTTCAATATCTTCATATTAAACACAAAAATGCATGTTTATCATTCCTCATTTTTGCTGTCATTATTATCTACACTGCTATGTTGTAAAAATCAAACACATTCGCTAATATAAAAATATCGATGATCAAATAAGACTACTTACCAGCCGATATCAAAATGCTTATTTTTTAATGTGAGTCTGCAAGAAGTATTACTTTGTATATATAGGGGTTACATATTTTTTCTTTTTTTCTAACATAAAATGTTGGTATGATGGAAAAAGGAAGAAAGGAGAAATGTCGAAGAAAATGATGGAAAATATCGAAAGGGAAAATATCGAAAGGAAAAGAAAGTCCTAAGAGACCGCCATAATAGAATGAGTAAATATTTCTCGTTTGATTGGCTCCTATCATTTAACTTGCTCATAATTTAGTCGAAGATACACTAATTGGTTTTCATTATTTTAGATATAATGACTACTGTCTAATGCAATTTCATTCGGTAAGTCTCAAAAGAGGAAAAAAACCCTGAATATCGACAATTTCATCTTTAAATTGAATAAAACGACAAGTACAAAAAAAGATTACCGATGTGTAGATCCACATTGTACTGTAACCGTACATACAGATGTTGATGATGTTATGCTAAACATTAATGGCGACAACTCTCTAAAAAAAAGGTATTCTCGGAAACTCAAAATAGGTTTCCGATAGTAACAAAATCGGAAACCCTTTAAGGGTTTCCCAGACACGGTTTCCGAGGTCTCGGAAACCGAAAAACCAAATAAAAATTTTCTTCGGATACCAATATCGGAAACGAATTAAAGGTTTCCGAGATTTCATTCGTCCCGTCCTGCATCGATAATCACCAGATCGCTATTGCCCGGGCAGATCGTTACGCCCACCGGAAGCTGCAGAAACCGACAGGAAAACGCCTGAAGATTACCGTACCCTGTAGGGAAACACACGTCATCGCTGTAACATGGAAGCAGTATCCCACCCGTAAATTTTTCCAAGTTTTTTCTCATGATTTCCGGTGTATCTTGCCGAAAAACACAGCAAGTTGGTCAGAACTGATCAGAAAAAAATCTAGAGAGTTTGTGACTGGGACACTGCTACCATGTTACAATGAGATCATCTGTTTTACGACAGGACACAGTGACTTTCAGGCATCTTTTCTGTCAGTGTCTCCAGGACCTAGTGGATAGAACATTCGACATGGGACGTTGGATCTAAAAAGAAATAACATATTTCATCGGCTTTTTACTTTCAAAAAATCGAACTCACCATAACCATTAACATTTGCTCATCTAACAATTGATCTAAACTGAAACAAAACAAACAAGTAGCCATTGCCACTTCGACTCACTTAACCCACGACTGCACAATGCAGACGCATTTTCTGTGGATACGGATATCGATAGGACTGTTCTATTAATTCTGTCCCTCAATAGCGATGGAAATTTCTCTCGAATTCTAAATCTAAAAGAAAGCACATCATCAATGCCCACATCATCTTCAATTATTACACTCCTCTGCTGCAAAAAATACTACCAGATTATGAAATGATAATATATACTCAGCCAATCTAAACACGAATCCGAGAAAAACATTTCAATATAAGGATAAAAAAATCTCATTTCCGATCAGTCCAATTTCTGACCGATGGAAACTTGAATCAAAAAAATGATGACGGATTCTGATTCTTGGACCTCGATAACCTATTTCAAGCTTTCATCAAAATTGAGAACGGAGTTGAAATAAAATGTGTAACTTTGTAGTCTGTACAATTTGGATCTCCCAAGGTTGATCGCAGAAAATGTCCTTCTGAGATATTTTGAACTTGGATCATGTTCTATTTCTGAAATATTGAACATTTCAGAAATATGAAAACCTTTTACAAATTAAAAAAACTCGGAAACCGATTTTGGTTTTCCAGAATACTTTTTTGACATTCATTAGACTTGGAAACCGAAAAGGTATTTTTGAAAACGCTTCGAGTCCTCGCAAACCCTTTCTGGAACCCTTTCAGGTTTCCGAGAGGGTTTCCGAATCGGTTTGAGTTTTCTAGGAAAAGTTTTTTTTTAGAGAGTACGTGCACATTGTTTTTATTTTCAGAAATTTTAACTTTCGATATTTTTCTCTTTCGACGTTCTTTCTTGCCTATATTTTATTTTCGATATTTTTCTTCGACATTTATGCTTTCGATATTTTTCCTTTCTTCCTTTTCGCATCCATTCAAAATGTTTACCTGAGTCAATGAAGTGTGACTCTAATTTCGCTACTTCTTATTTTCGCATATCAAAACATTGTTTAATGTACGCCGCAAGTTCACCAACTAAGTGATCCATATTTTCCTTTCGGTTGTGACCAGTGCAAAAAAACAATGGGTATCTTACTATTTCTTTTCATCAAGTTAGCGCGTGGGTGACTGTATAAAATAATATTAACAAAATCCAGATCCTCGCACCGACATCCTAAGAAACCATTTTTGAAGCAAAAGATCAAATAATCAACCCCTGTGTGTAGAGTAATAAACATTACCGATCAAACAGTAGAACAATCAATCTCTGTACATAGGATGATAAACCGTTTCAACGAAAGAGTGGAAAGATCAACCACTATACGATGAACAATGAATTTCTTTCAACAAAAGAGAAGTAGAATCAACCATCAATCGACGATGAAACTATACCTTGAGATGCCAAGGTAGATAACCCAGTCAGACAAGTAACGGAAAAATCGATGCTTTTATGCGTTAAAAGCACACATTTTAACGCGTTAAAAAATACTTTTTTGTGAGAAAAAAACGAATCGATACATGTCAATGCTTTTAAAATTGTTTTCAGTCAAAATAAAATTTTTTTAACACGTTAGAATGTGCGCTTTTAACGCATAAAAACATCAATTCTTTCGGTACTTGTCTGACTGGAAAGCTAATATTTGTCAGTAGAATAAAAAAACCTGCCAATGAAGAGGCATATAATCAAGCATTCACGTACAGTACGAAACCCTTTTTTTTATTAAGATGTAGATGAATCAAGTGTTGAACATGGAATACTAAACCCTTAACAGGAATTGCCAGCAGAATCTACCCTTAGGCGTAGAATAATGAACTGTTTCTGAGAAAGGGTACTCACTCTACCCAGAAAGGCAGAGTGATACACCCTTTTAACGAAAAAAAGAAAGTAGTAAACCCGATAACGAAGAATAAAATACCCCTACTTTGAAAGCGAACAGCAATCTACTATCATTCGTTGAAGGATATACTCTTATCTTAAAATCGTAGAATAATGAATCCTTATGTACCCATCATATACCTCTTGAGTTTTCGTAAACTCATAGCGTCATAAGCCCTTCGATTAATAAATGCTAAAAGGGTTCATCATATCGGAATAAACTCTTCAAGGGTTTAATGGCGACTTTTTTAAATGCAGGGGTAGCTCATTACCTGGATTTTTTATCAGTGTAACCAATTGTTTGCTTTGTGCATAAAAAGTCATTGAACGACTAAGAACAGCTTATGAGTTACTGATGGGCTCAATATGTTTGACTAATATCATATTCATTTTAGACTTTGTTTTTTATGAATAGTAAAATATTAATTTGTACTGTTGTATGACGTTGAAAAAAAAAATAAAAATCTAACTAACTAATTAATGAATAGCATGAAGTATTGCCAAATGAAAAGTAGGAAAGGAAGTTTAACTGCTGATGATACCATTGATCCAAGGTAAATAAGCTGATACTCGAGTATAAACAACCGGGATTTTGTGATCTAGTACTTCACACTGTCTGTGACCAAAACTAGTCACACCTTCGATTACCCATTGTCCATCGTGTAGTTGAAGTGCAGGACCACCGCTATCACCTTGGCACGAGGATGATGTTAATTTCGGATCCCTGAAGCAAAGCTGTTTTTCACCATTAATATCTGACCAGAATTCTTTGCAATTATCAATGACAAGAACCTCTGTTTGTTTCAATACAGGAGAGAGTTCTCCACCTGTACTTACCGTACCCCAACCGATTAAAACTACTTCAGAATCAGGTTTAGGATCAGGACCAGGCAAACAAACTGGTTGTATATATTCATTGAAGTTAACAGGCTCACTAAGGCGAAGAATAGCTATATCATTTTCAATTGTGTCCGAATTCCAACCTGGATTAACAAAGATCTGTGAAACACTTCGCTGTTCCCATTTATTTGCCTTTTCATCAGCATCGTCCTTATTATGAATTCCGGCTGTGATAGTTATTCCCTTTGGATCATTGGAATTGAGGCAGTGAGCAGCTGTCAAAACATAATCTGCACTTATCAACGAACCACCACAATTACTTGTGCAATATCCCGCCTGAGGTCCACAAGATACTGATTCTTGATATAAAATTTGCTAATAATTGTAAAAAATATTCGAAATTTATTAACTTTAATTAGACACTTACCCATGGCCATGAATGTGGCACAGCTTCATGACCACCAACAATACGTCCACCGAACTGTGGCGCATTTTCTTGACGACCACATGTATCACTCTCGATTGGACGTGAAAAATCGACTCCCTCTGGCTCATCACGGAGCGATCGTTGGAAAAAGTATGGAAGATACTGCAGTTGCACCCAGCTACGTCGAGTGTTTTCAAACTTGTTCGAGTTACTTCCATCTTTGTATGCTCTTACTGAGCCAATTGCTTTCATCCATGGATCAGCAACTATAAGTACAAATGATAACAATAAAAATTCACCGAAAAACGTTTATGAATGAATTGTATGCAATAACCAAAGGAAGTCATGCATGGAAATCTATATCGGACAAAATTGTAAGCAAGCAATACTCATGCCAATACCGTCTACTCATATTATGTAACAAAACAGATCATTCTCACTTACATTTTCGCTCATTTAATGATTGACTTGCTAATGCATTGTTCCATAGTTGTTGTTTTTGTTTTTGTTTTTGTTTTTGTTGATTATTCGTGTAAAAATCTCGTTTCTTGAACATTTTTTCACGGAAATCTTGAGTAGTATCATATCGACTTTGAACTATTGTTATACACCAAACGACGAGGAAGACAACAGTAATTAAGTTTGTCCAACGCATGCCTATCGGAGAACGACACAAAGGTGTTCGAATAGAAAAAATGTTTTCTTTATTATAGTGTTGAAACTGGAACTTGAATGTTGGTAATATGTAGTTTACTTGTAATATTTATAGGTGAGCAAAAAGGAAATGAAAAAACAAACCATTCATATTCTTAATAAATGTTTTAATGAAAGAAAACAATTTGAAACAAGAAACATAGTTTTTAATTGCAAAGTTTATCTATAGTTTTTGGACACGCTTCAGTGTTGTCTATGTCTTGTAATAAAGATAAACATCGATTTGGAGGCGTTTCAATTATGAACTAACAATCTATCAGTTACTAATTAAGTCATGCCAATATAGTATGTCATGTGCCGTTTTCATCAATACTAATTAATAGAAACAACAAGCAGGGGAAAAGTTTTTTTATTTTCAATTTTAGCGGTAACCACTGCTCAGGCTTCCAAAATAGCAAACGTCCTTATTTTGAAAATCTCTAACATACTTTAATAGTACGCTTTGTCTTCATACAAAAAACAAATCACAACAGTAATATGGCGCAATTTTTCGAGCAGCTTATGAGCTCTGTATGTCTCAATTATTTTTCACTCATTTCTTATTATTGCTAGGCTGTGGGTGTGATTACCCATTCGTAACTTTATCATTTATTAATATTCGATTTAAATAGAAGTCAACATGATAAATAAAATACGACCAAGATGTCTCAATTTCGATTATAAACTTTATTTAGCAAATCAATACAAAAAAAAGCAATAAACTAAGATGCTGTTCTTTTATTCAGATGTTCTTCATCATCCTCATCATCACCTTCTTCTTCGCTTTTGCGTTTTTTTATTTCCATCGATCGTTCCCATCGATCTGTTATTTCCTTTAATAATTCGTCCAGATCGTCTATGTCCTTCTTTATTTGACCCTTACTGTTTTTTGGCCGCACCAATATCCATTCACCATTTTCATTTTCTGGTAGATCTTTTTGATTATAAAGTTTTACATTTCCAACGCCTTTTTTCGCATTTCGAAGCATCTTTGCAATTTGTTCACTTGTACTCGATGTGATCATATTGATGTAAACATCGTGTTGTGTTTCTAATGTTGCAATATAGCCTTTTCTACCAATGAATCTACCACGTTGCAGTCGTTTCTTATCGTCGACTGGCAAAGTTTCTTGCAATAGATCTTCAGACTTATATGGTAAAAATACAAATTTTCCGGTTTTAGCTATTTTTTTCGGCTTCGTTTTTGGTTTGGATGGGCGCACTTTAACAGGTATGACCGATTCGCTTGAACTACTAGAATCATGTTCAGAATTATTATCCAGTTCAATATTGAATAATAAATTTGAATCGGAAGTTCGATTTTCTCTGATAAAATTTTCTAATTTATTTAATGATTGAATAAGCTTGGGATTGCCGTTTTTATCTCGATCTATTTGATCAGTAAGTTTTTTTAAATTTATTAGTTTATCTTTTCCATCAAGAATAACAGTTATTAATGTTTGATTATCAACATTAGCACATGTACAACATTGATGTGGCATAGTTCGTAATACATTTACAGGTATACGATTTTCATTCCGAAGTTCATTAACAACAGCATGAAATAAGCCACGATAACGTGCATTGTGCACTAAGCAAGTCATTGGTTATTTTCAGCAAGTGACGAATGAAAAATATTCGAAGAAAAATCCTATATATAAAAGAAAATATTGTGCAATTACATTATGTTTCACCATCACACGCGATTTCGAATGAAAGAATATGAATCACTGCAAATTACCCAAGTAGTGGGGAAAAATTAACGTCAACATAGATAAGTAGTGATTTATATCCTAACGAATTATAAGAAAGATATATGACAGATTGTTTTAGAAATTATTCGTGGACGTTAAATTGGCTGTCATTTCGTAATTTTGATCTTGCACAATAAACGTTTGTGTTGGTTTGTTTACGGAAATAAATATTTGCTCCGACTACGCAAGTTTATCATCGTTCCATTTGGGTAACAACGAGTAAATAATAAACTAGTAGGATTGATCTACGACTATGCAATATTTTTTACTTATTTGCCACCTGAAATGCGGCTGATAATGTTTGAAAAGATTTTTCATAAAAATAAAGTTTTTTCAACGATTTATCATGTATAATCGAAGAGCAGCATTGATTCATAGTAATTAGGATTGTCCAACAGTAGCATAGTGTCAGTGGCTCAACGATATAATATATTTTTGTCTCGAGATGCAGAAAAGTTTTTAAAATACTTGACTACAAAATCGTTTTGATGCAATTGAATACGAAAACTCCTACGGACCACCTCACCAACATCTGTCTGCGTAGTATTGTGACCGAAATAGTACTAGATCTCAAGTAATTTATGATGCTATATTAGTGATCAATGAATTAAAGAGAGCATTCGTTCATGCTGTCAATGATAAAAGCATGATGTTGCATCTACAACCAAAGTTAAATAACTTTCAATACGCGTAGGGCAATTTACAATTCATCAAGAGTAACATAACGGTAATACAACATGAGCAACAGATGTTTGACCTCGCCAAGTTTTTAAATAGGACAAATAATTAAAGTATGTCCCTTTTATAATATCATTTTTCATGTGAACGAGTGTGACATCTATGAATGATTGAATAATGACTGGCCAACAGATACAAACTCTTTTCTACTTCATATATAATTTAATAAACGGAAGATTGAATCGACAAGACGAATTTCTTCATCTAAAACAATGCTTCGATTACGTTTTCATGCATCGTGGTTACCCTCTGATCATAATCAATTTTGGACACTATTTGATTGTGCAAACAATATAAAAACTATCCATGATTTAATTGAATATTTCAATGAACAACAAAAATCTCTTGCTGATTGTTATAATTTTGATATACCAAAACGTTCGACAAAATTAAAATATCTTAAAGCATTTATTAATGATTGTGTTTTACCTCCTAATGCTCAGGCAAATCATATGCTTCGAGATAATGATGAAATCCAGTAAAGATTAAAGCAAATTATTTAAATCAATTGATTTGTCTTTTAGTTTTCGTTTAGAAATTGATGCACAAAACGAATGGCTTCTTGTTAAAGCTCCCCCAAGTTTAAAACGGAAACGATCTATTGAACCTGACATTGCTCCTTCTTCTCCTCCACGGGAATCAGCACCAGCACCACCTTCGACCAATGATCTCGATTCTATTCTTCGAACCATGGCGAAACCAATAGAAACAAATTCACCCGAACAAAGTTCGTTTACATTTCGATTTGGTAATAAACGCGGTCGTCCTATTCCACCACGTCCACAAGTCATCTCAGCAGTCAAAGTAAACAACAAGGCTAAACAAAATCATTGTTTTATCTCTACAATTCTTTTTAGGTTAATTCATTAGTTCCACGACAAGTAATAAAAAGAATAGACAATAAAACATAATTTCCCTCTCTTCTGTTAATTCTTTATTTGTTTTTTTCTTGTCTCGAAAAAAACTGAACATCGACAATAGTAAAATTCGACGAAAAGAAAAACAACACAAAGAAAAGATTGTGTGCATGTGTAATTGAGAAGAAAAACGCCAAGAAAAAAAAGAAAACAATGAGCAAAACAACAGAGAAGAGCAAAACTAATAAGGTTCGTTATACGATAAAAAGAAAACAGAACGGACAAGTAAAAGACATGACTATTGTCTATTTACATTTAAAAAAACCAATAAAAAGCCATCATTGTATGCTTAAACATTCGTACTGAAACAAAAAGAAACACATTGATTGGAGTTTAACGAATACTTTTTTCTGATTAGTAGTGAGCATGATTAGAGACAAATTTTTAGAACGTCCTTATAGGAATTTTGTCAATTATTTTAGACCCATCGAAGGAATCGTTTTTACTACATTAAAACCTTTCTATTGTGAATACTATCGAGATCACGGAAAGATTAATCCTAGAATTATTTAAATAGTTCACTTTTCGTTTTAAAATAGTTCATTAAGAACGAATCGAAATATCATATTTTTGAGCCAGTTTACGTGGTAATAAACAATTACTATCATAAATTCATTACACTTTTTCTTGCAAAGTGCGCTCATGAGGAGGCAACATTCTTTATTTCATACAAATAAAAGAGTACTCTTTCGTAGTTGACTAGAGAAGGAATAACAAGAGGTCAAAAAAATAGGATCCAATTAGAGGTTTTACCAAGGAGAAAAAATGATTTCTCCTTATTTCTGGTGATTTCCATTACAGGAAATCAGTTTTGTATGTAAAAGTCACATTGTCGAAAGTCGTTGAAAATGTTTAGACATTAATAAAGTCGATGATAGGCATGCACCGAACCCGGGTACTTCGGGTCAGTACTACCCGGGTTCGGTCATACCGGGTACCTGATACTACCCGGGTTTCATCATACCCAGATTCAGTACTGGGATTCTGTGGTCTACTTATTCGTATCCTTCGAAGCATAGAAATGAATAATAAATAGCACCTATGGATATATATAGTAGGTGATAAAAGATGAATTCATGTCAAAGATCCTCTACCTTGCTCAACGTATCATAGTTAATCTCATTTATCAGGAACGGATACAGTTAAATGAGCTTCTCTTAATATTTGTATGGGACTCAACTACAAGAAATCGTCGAATGGCTCTCCTTATTAAGTTTTCAGAAAATGCAGATGTATGATTTTTTCCATCGGTCTACTAACAATATCAATACTAATAATGCTAATATCGGTATCAAAAGTACTAAATTGTATTGGTATTGGTAGTATTCGAATTCTGAGATCCCTACTTAGACTATCAGACGGATCATTTCAATAAGAAGAACTATTCGATGATTTCCTGTAGCTGAGTCCAAGAGAAATATTCATAAAAGCTCATTTAATTGTATACTGTCCTGGTAAATAAGATTATCTATGATAGATTGAGGAAAAGACCATGAACCTTTGAAATAAAATCATTTATTATTATCGACCTATAGGTACTATTTTTTATTCATTATGTATGCTCCGAAGGATACAAATAAGTAGACCCTCGAATTCCAGTACCGAATCTGGGTATGATGAAACCCGGGTAGTACCGAATACCGAGTAGTGCCGAAACCGGGTATGACCGAACCCGGATATGACCGAATACCGGGTAGCTCGGGTTCGGTGCATGCCTAGTCGATGAGAAATCGATGGAATTTAATAATAGTCACCAAATGTGGGATCCTCATAGAAAATCGTCAATAATCACTAGAAAGCAATATGTTCTTTTTTTACTGTATATTTGGAGAATTTTTGTAATATGAAATGATTTTTAGTGATTTCTAATGGCTTCTCATGTTTTCCTAATAGTCAAAATCGATATTCGGATCTCATTTTCATCCGATCGCCTTTTAATGATTTTTGGTGATTTCTAGCACAAGAAATCAGTTTTTCCCCCTTGGATTTTATTGTATAAATATTTTATAAAAAAATGTGTTACAAGCAGAATGAAAATCATCTTTAGAAACTATTTCCTGTGTTCAAAACGATATGAAACTTCCGAGTGTATAGAACTAAATTCTTCGTACGATTTCAAAAAAAGTAACTTACGAGAGTCTTGTATGTCGTCGATTTGTTGAATGCATATTCATAGGATGTTTTCGAGTATTCGGATATGAACGATACGATGTTGAAGGTTTGATTGATACCATTCTATAGAAAATCAAACAGGTTTAAATATATATATTAGTTAATCTTGATGTCAAAGAGTACTTACGGTGATGTCGCTCTCAATACAAGATTTGATTGTAAATGATTATTCAACGTAGATGTCACGACACTACAGTTTTCTTTCTCCAATGGTCGTTTCTTTACATGTGATGAGTCAGACATACTACGAAGAAAAAATAAATGAAAGTTTGTTTATTTATTTGTCTTTTTTTTCAAGTACGAATCGCACATACTTCATATGTATAGATTTTTGACGATGAAATTGCTTTCTAATTGTAATTGGCGTTGAGATTTCATTAGTTGCACTTAAAAGAGAAGATAATTATATTGCAAGGATAGATAAAAATTTAATTCATTCTTACATTCGGCTATGTTGGTTATTGTTAGTCAATAATAAAACATTTTGAATGCATGTTAAATGTTGTGAATTACTCATCCGTAACGGATCATCAATAAATCGTACAATTGGCAAACGAGATACTATACTTGTTGGTGTTGTTATATTCATTCTTGAAAAAACAATATTAAATTTTTTTGTCATTAGACATTTTTGACCTACGATGATATAGTTGAATTGATTTCATTGGATTGTATCTCATTGGAATTCGTGAGATTAACCGGAATTGTTGCTGAAGTTGCTAAACGTTGTTTTTGTCGTTCATGAACAGATAGACGTGGTTTTAATCTAATAAATAAATAATTAAATATGTATGTATAGCTATAGCAAAGAAAAAGAACTATTTTACATTGATGTTTTTGACGTTCGCATCACTCTCTTTAAATTATTAATCATCACGTCTAATTGATGTATAGTATCGAAATGTTTCTGTCGAGGTATTTCATTTTCAAGTGTGGTCCAATTCATTGGTTCATTAGAATTCAAATGAGATCCATGGCGAAATATAATTGGATGATTAGCAACTAGAATATTAAATATACATTTTTTGACATATTTTACTTTTATCAACACTAGTTTACATACGATGAGTACAAATTTGTTCTTGAACAGTATAACGACGTTCACGTTCTAATTCACGTAATAAACGTGTACGCGTTGCTTCATTTAAATGTGCTGTATGAGTACGACGACATTGTAAACGACGAAGAGTTCGTTGACCACGTACATATCGTTCATAAAGTCTAAATAATGGAACAAAACCATTAACAAATTTTATTTTAGATTTTATTTTCTTACTTTCGATCCTTTTGTTCTTCAAGCATATGACGATGATGACGTGATAGTAATTCATCATAGTTATCGTTTTCATCATTGTTTGATGCAATTTCTTCCATATCATCTTTTTCTATGGCATCTAATTTTGCCTCTAGATTAAATATATATGAAAATATTCATATATTCTTCAGTAAAATTGTCATATTTACGAGTTTCATGTATGACTGTTCGAGATTTTGTTGTTGATGTTAAACGAAGGCTATGACGGCGATGGTGTTTATTTTTTAACCCGGTTGAATGCTGTAATTTTGTTTTTCTTGAACTAAATTCAAAAAGAAAAAAAAACTTAGTACCTTGTTCATTCGAATCGAAGAATTAGGTAGACAAACATTGGAGTAGATGATATTGAAGGACTAATTTTATTGGTTGTTGAAATAAGTTTAGCTGGGTGAGTACGAAGATTATAACGCGGTTTCATTCGAGTAAAATGTTTCCAAGTGACAGATAATCTACAGTAAAATAGTCATTTAATTGAACATACCAACTGATGAGTTCAACAATCGAAGAGAAAAAAAGCAAAACGTAAGCTACAGTAGCCATTTATGTTGACAGATATATGATTCATCCAATAATAATGACTAATGAGATGATGAGAAACTATTTCAATCAATTTTTATACAGATCAAATTTTAGTTAATTCTATTTTCAAAACTCAGAGTAAGAAACGAATGCTAAAAAAATGTTGCTATATACGGGCGACATCTATCACAACTGGCAAAAGTATAGTTTTCAATATAAACATGATAAAATTACAAATGCAAAGTAGTAATACTTTGTATAATTTGTCGAAGTTTGTTCCTCTGTTCTTTGTTTCAATTTTTCTTATAAACTTGAATCTCATGATCAGGTTGACCAGATCAAAAATTGAAAAATCAGAAAATCTTTTTTCAAAATCAGAAAACGATCAGAAAAAATCTCTGAAAAATCAGAAATTAATCAGAAAATGGCAGTTCTTGGCAAATTAGTAGACCTTCTGCTAAAATACTGGCATCCAAAATTCTGGTGCATTTCGGTACACTGACTGGAACTTTATTTTCAAAGATATTTAAATAGAACGAAAGAAACTATAGTGAATATATCGTTTAGTTAATACGCAAACATCAATAAAAGATATTTTATGTTGAGCTTCTTTTTAAATTTAAAACTTGTAGAACTAAATCACATACATTCTGCGTAGATTAAGAAATCCAACGAGAAAAAGAAACGTTAAATTCCATCATCTCGGTATTATTATTCATATTTCGTATCTTTTTGAATTTGCTCTAGAAAGTTTGTTTAAGATAACATATGCTAATAAAAACATTCTCAAGAATTATTGCCAGCCACTTTTATATTAAGTTAAGCATTATCTGGTTTTATATTACTGGATTACGATAATCGGACTATAAATGCTTCATATAACAGAAAATCAAGTCTACTCCAGAATTCGAATGCAGAATATAAAAGATGATTAATACAGAAAATTGATGAAACACTGTTGATTTATTCCCTCGACTGAAGGGAGGATCATACGAAATAAAATGCGGTTGTTTGTTTGCTTTTATAGTAATGGGTTATAATCGTATCTAATTTCAGTGACAAAGCAACGATCTGAAAATATTCCAAATTCAGAAAAAATCAGAAATATGTTCAAACTTCAGAAAATTTCCCTAGTTTTCAGAAGATCTGGCCACCCTGCTCATGATCATTATTCTCTTCTATTGGCAAGTCTTGATACTGAAAGATTCATGGATTATATTGAGTGTAAGCCTTGCTACAGACGCTTTTTCTTCGGTTTGTGGATAGCTAATAATTTTAACATTTTAAAAGTAAGTTTCCTTTATTCTTTTTTGGAGTTAGTAGAAATGTTAAGTAAAAATTGAAAGGTGCTTAGTAAACGTTTTTCTAGATATTGTTAGTATACGAAAGTGTCTTCAACGATGAAATTACAATCTTGTGTATTTTATCACTTCGTGACCAGCTAGAAGTACGTACAAGCTGATATTTGAACCGAATATAATATCCATGGATGCACTGGGCAGTGGTGTAAACAAGAGACGTGCACAGGGCAGGACGTCCTGTTGTCCTGTCCTGTCCTGTCCTGTAGGACAGGATGAGATTTAGATTTTGTCCTGTCCTGCCGCCCGCCAGGACCAAGGTAGCCAACAGGACAGGCAAGGACAGGAGAAAAAATTATGTCCTGTGCACGTCTCTGGTAGGAACTTGTTTTTGTGTATTTTTCATTTGTTTTTTTTTGTTTTGTGGTAAAATACTGCCTATTTGTTATTGTTTCTTTAAATAGTATCAGGTTTAAGTTATCACATTCATGCTACAATCAATGTTGTTCATATTTTTTATATTTTTTCTTGTCGTGAAAATTAAGATAGTTTTCTATTTTATTGTATTTATAAATTAGTGATAATTTAAAGTGTATTTGTTGTATTTGAAAATGATGTCAAATAAATTAAGCCTAAGATTACTAATACTAATATTTACTTTGATCGACAACAGCTAGGGTTCGGAGTCCGAACTTCGGACTCATAATTAGTTTTCAGTCACTAGAAAAATCGGAATAAATCAGTAACGCTAACCAGGACAAGGCTTTAACGTATTGTCCTGCCGTCCGCCATGACACAAAAAGTCAGCAGGACAAAGAAGGACAGGTCGAGATTTAGATTTTTGTCCTGTCCTGCCGTCCGCCAGGACGAAGATTACCAACAGGGCAAACACGCACAGGAGAAGGTTTCGATTTTGTCCTGTCCTGCCGCCCGCCAGGACCAAGGTAGCCAACAGGACAGGCAAGGACAGGAGAAAAAATTATGTCCTGTGCACGTCTCTGGTGTAAACAATACCCTATGGTTGGTTCAGCATACTTCTAATACTATTGACATGAACAAGTGTTTTTTATGGAGCTGTTTGGCCAAGTGTCGATAAATATACACAATTTTGGCTCTCATCAACTCAGGTCGTGGAGGTACGGCTTGAAACGGCCGGAAAACACGAAAATGCGCTGGAAAGTGGAAGCAGTATTCCAGTCGAAAATAGCCGGATTATTTTCCGGCGGATTCCGGTCAGTTTTCTGTGATTTCCGGCTGGAAGTTGACCGGAATACACAGGATAAAATCCGGCAGCTCCCGACCGGAATACTGCTTCCACTTTCCCGCCAGATACGGTGATCTTTCCGGCCGATTCTTACAGTATCCGTCCTCCGGAACCATTGGCGTGGGAATCAAAATAAAACGCACCTGTTATGTTACGAACAATTAGTTTTCCAAGTACACGACTGCTATGAACGTTACTAATCGTAACAACACCCACTGCTCCATTCGAAGCCTATTTCATCCACCGTTGATTTTCTGAATTATTAATTTAAAGATTAAACTTATAATCAACAACTAAACCTGATGGTGCATTGAGTTGACAAAGTGCGATTTCTGAAATGCCAGTTACAGTTTCTGTGGTACCAACGATTGAATTCGGGGGAAAGCATAAAAAATTTCATTGGCACGAAGTCCAGTGACATACATCTATCCAGCTTTATCAAAAGCAAGATATTGAGAATGTAACAAGGGATTTGCATTAATCGGTGTATAAACATGATGGATGTCTAAACTGAGTAACATCGGAGCCTAATTCGTTATCGCTGATGAATTATGGTGAAACCCTACAACATACATCTCGTTGCCGTAGTTGTTGTTGTCTGGGTGTGGATGTGATGAACCTCTTTGCCGTTACACAATCACACCCACATCACAGAAAGAGTATCATTTCTACACAGAGAGAATGGGTGGCCAATTCGAGTTCCTTCGACAGGAACTGGTTAGGAAATATGAGTACAATTCTCAATTCTGAACTGTTGCAGACGTAAACGAAATCAATAGAGCAGCAAATTTCATGGAAATTAGATAACATCCATTGTTGGTTCATCATTTTGCTAGAAGTTAAAATTTAGTTTTTAACAACGTTATTTTCGTATTCATATATTTTAAAGAAGTATATCTATGGACAGAGGGTTAAATAATCCCAGAGGCTATTGAAAATAAAAGAAATTTCAATGCAATTTATTTGAATTGATGGGAAATTAAATCGGTAACTTGCTAAATATTAATGATACGTATTCGGGTGTGCGTAGGGGTATGCGTATTCTTTATACTCCTCCCCTCTCCAAAACTCTTTTCCAGCAAAATATTATTTAAAGAACAAACAATCGAAGAGAGGAGAACACATACAAAAAAAAGAGCAATTTATAGTTGTTTCCTTTCTTTTTACTGCCAAAGAATTGCAACAGAAGTAACCAACACGTGAATTATTTTTCACAACAGTCAGATGCTAGTCAATAGAATTGTTGTGTCAGAATGAACAACACAACAATACATGAGCAATTAGAACTGTTCGATAAAATAATCAACACAACGGCATATACGTATAAATCGCGATAATAACTTATTTGAAGAATATTCTTAAGCGAAATAAATCTCATTAGGTGTTATAGACACAGACTATTCATGGATGAGAAAGAGGTAAATTGTACTTCTCAATGCTCTAAACAAACAAGTATCGCTGATGAAATCTCGGTTTGTACACGAGTCCAAAAACAAAATATTTCTATTCGAGACTCGCATCTTAGCTGTCAAAATCGCATCATTGAGAACTTTATGATAATTTGGCTAGATCCAAATCTCAATCAATCTGATGAACAAACTCGAACCGTCATCATGCATCTTCGTTGTATCGTCAATTGTGTTGAAACATTCGCTGACTTCGATAGATGTATTAATTATATAACAGAAATCAAAGATGAAGAATTCTTCCTGATTGTTTCGGGATTACTCGACGATCATATTATTCTTCTCATATCTGAAATGACTCATCTTTTGGCGATCTATCTTCTACGGCATAGTAATCAATCGGATTACGAACGTTTGGCTCAACAGTGTAATAAAGTGAAAGGCAATTTCACATGCATCGAATCTCTCTGTGATGCACTCAAAAAGGATGTCCATCATTTCGAAAAAGACCTTACGCCCATCAGCACTATTACTTTCTCGTCGATTAATAATATGAACGAACTAGAACCCTCGTTTATGTATTCACAATTACTAAAAGATATTCTTCTAGAACGCGAATATGAAGACAAAGACAAGACAGATTTTGTTCAATTTTGTCGTCTTTTCTATGACAACAACCGACACGAACTACCGACAATCGAAGAATTCGAACGAAACTATACTCCTAAATCGTCCATCTGGTGGTACACTAGAGGGTGTTTCATTTATGCCATGATCAATAAAGCTTTACGAACACAAAATATTCATGTAATCATGAAGATGGGCTTTTTTGTTCGAGATCTTCATAGACAAATCGAAGTATTTTATCGTCATGCAAATCATTGCTCTCCATTCGCAGTATATCGCGGGCAAGGGCTCTTGCATAGCGAATTTGTGAAAATGAAGAAAAACAAAAATGGTCTTGTATCATTTAACAATTTCTTATCGACAAGCACCGATCGACAGGTTGCGTATCTCTATGCCGATAGCGCAGCTCAAAATCCCAATATGATGGGCATCCTATTTCGAGTAGAGATCGATCCATCAATTTCAACTGTTCCATTTACATCTTTGAATAATATCAGCTACTTCGGTGATACAGAAAAAGAAATTTTATTCTCAATGCATACCATCTTTCGGATGATAAGTATAGAACAGATCGAAAATAGATTGTGGCAAATTAATTTGATGTTGACTGATGATAATGATCAACAATTGATTTTGCTTAAAGAAAACATAGGAAAGGTTACTCAAGGACCAACTTGGTTACATAGAATGGCGCAATTGATGTATTACATGGGAGAATTCGACAAGGCCGCGGAGACATTCACTTCGCTTCTTGAGACAACGTCTCTTGATGATTGTCAGTTAGTCGCTGAGATTCATCATCAACTTGGTTATATCAATGAGAAAAAAGACAACTTAGTGGCAGCTTTCTCACATTATCAGCAGTCTTTCGATATCTTCTCAACTCATCTATTGCCAAATGATCCTCGACTAGCTGTCGCCTATACTGCAATTGGTACCGTACGTCAAAAGCAAGGAGATACTAAGGAAGCAGTAAAATATTTGCAAAAGGCTCTTGAGATTGACAGTATTGCTTTAGCGTCTGATTCAGTGACGATTGCAACTCGATATAATAATATCGGATTATTGTTAAAAGAACAAGGAAAAACCGAAGAGGCACTCACAAACTTTGAGCATGCACTCGGGATCTACCTCGCGCATCTTCCACCTCGACATCCATCACTGGCAACCATCTACAATAATATTGGTCTTGTACATCGATCAATGGGAGAAAATTCGAAAGCACTTAATTATTATGAGAAGACGCTGGATGTACGGCTAAAATCTCTTCCACCAAATCATCCTTTGTTAGCTCAGATTCACGGTAATATCGCATGTGTGCTAGATGACCTGCGGCAAACTAAAAGCGCCATTGAACATCTCGAACGAGCTGTCGATATTAATTGTGCTGCATTTGGCTCTGATCATCCGCATGTTCAAGCCTATCAGATACTTGTCGAAAGATTTCGATCCAAACTGGCCTCAATTAGTGATGTTGATAACTCGAAATGAAAAACACACAATCCCTAATTAAGGGGGGAAACTGCGATTACACAGTTCGACAGAAGTCATATTGATAAAAATTGATTTTCGAATGTGGACTTAGCTATTGCAGTGGGTACCGATATATATATATATATATGATATCGCTTCCACCCACACCCGTCTAATCTAATACACATAGCTCGATGGCAATTTTCAAAAATTATAGGTAGTAGTCTCAAGCTTGGCAGATGTCAATTCGCTAATATTCAGCAATATTCCATTAAAACTTTTGATAAACAAGGAGCAAGTTGTATAAAGAGTTTCCAGAAGTACCTCTCATGTCAAATATTAATTAATTACACGAAGAGCCTTCATGAAAGCTTTAATATTATCAGCAGAAGTCCTGCACAACCATACATTACTCTGAAAAGAAGTTTTTATATTTGACACTAAATTACGGGAATGATATTTTTTAACCAATTACTGTCAAAAACTATAATCAAAGGTCGGATGAATAATTTTCGAAGGAATGATTTTGAAAAATAACAACATCAGAAAGTATCATACTCTTTTCATCATTAACAATCGTAGTTCACTAGTTGCTCATATTTCATAATTACTGAGTTCGCGCCGATACAACTTTCATTTAGACGCATATACTTGTGCCAAGCATCTATTTCGATTACTTGTGACATCTACAGAAAATAAATTAGAAACCAATCTGTACGCACTTTTTACGTCCAGTCGATAGCAGAGCTGAGCTGCTGCTGCTGCTGCTGCTGTTGCTTCATCGTCATATTTTCTTCCTCTTCAAATACATGTATTTATAAACGCCTCGGATAGCTTCGTCAGCTGATTAATGTTGTTTTAATTTTTAGTCATTTATTTACGATGAGTGCAACAGCAGCGCAATGTAGCGATACAACAAATTCGACTTCTGAAGGTGATGACGTTTACATGTTTCATGCAGCTCGACAAAATGGTCGACGGAATGCATTACCAGATCTGGGAGCACAGTTTACTCCACGTAAATTTGTTTATTTGCTTTCAATGGAATAGTTTTTATTTTAATTTTAGCTGAAACTACAATAGGGAGCTGTGACGTTGATCAAATTACGCCACACTTTCAAACCATGCTCATTAAGCCATAAAGACACAAAATGTCTCATGCAGATGAACAAATTATTAATAGACATTTATTGTTTGTCCTGTGATATAGATTTTCGTTGTTTGTGTGTTTCGTGTTTTTCGTATACTGACGCAACAGAGAATTTGTTTTGAATGATCTCAAGGAAGAACAGAATTGTGTGTTTTAAACAGGCGAATAGTTTCGTACAATGGAATATTTTAAAAAATAAATTTTTAATAGTCATTTAATTGTTGTTCTAGACGACAAGTGATCAATTGGAATAGATAGTCGACAATTGAATCTTCTTTTTTCGAAAATTTTTATTTTTTCAAGTGTTCTAGTTTCGATGACGGTTAGTTACGAATGTTATACAATCATAGAAATAAAATAAAAAAACTTCCTATTGTTCATTTAGTTCGATCTTGTTCGAAAGCGTCTAACCAAAGAACTTAAATTACTAATAGAAAATCCCACGCCTGGCATGTATGTTAGCTTTGACTAAAGAAACATAATTATTTTATTATATGTTTCTAGTCGAGTCGTCGATGATAATTCGGATTTGCGGAAGTGAGTCAAAAAAATTCAATTATACTCAATTGATAATTGAGTTAAACGATTATATGTATATATATTTTTTTTGTTAATTTTAGAATTCGAATTGATATTGAAGGTGCACCAGGAACATTATATGACGGTGAAAATTTTCAATTACTATTCAAATTTACTGATCAATATCCATTCGATTCACCACAAGTAATCTTATTCAATTCGAATACATGATTTAATTCAAATATTTAGGTTACATTTATTGGCTCTAATATTCCTGTACACCCACATATTTATTCCAATGGTCATATTTGTTTATCAATTTTGACTGATGATTGGTCACCTGCATTAAGTATTAACGCTGTTTGTCTTAGTATTTTGTCGATGTTATCAAGTTGTAAAGATAAGGTACTAGAAAAAAAAATATGCATGCAAATTTAATTATCAAGCAATCTAAAAAGCATTTTGATCATCAAGAAAACGAGCGATGACTTTGACTTAAAGAGCTTTTAAGAGTTCTTTGCAGTTTTCGTAGAACAGTTATATCAAAAATAGCAATTATTTTATTGAATATAGATGTAAACAACGATTAGTCGCATTTAGATGTTCGAGACAAAGAAACAATTGTTTCTTTTAGATCGATATTGTTTGGCAAGAATAAATTTGTATTAGGAAAAAACTATAATATGATTTATTTTTGTTTTAGATTCGTCCGCCTGATAATGATTGGTATGTTCGTACAGCATCTAATGATCCTAAAAAAACTCGATGGTGGTATCATGATGATTCTGTTTAATATTATCATGATTGAGTTTTGTTTTAAGCTTTCTTGTATATTTATTTTGTATTGATACAAACAGGTATAAGAATAAATATTTTATATTCCAATCTTGTTTTTAATTTTAATTCAAGAAAATGGTCCAAGGCTTTTTTTATTAGGAAGTGCTACAGTTTTCGTTTGAAATGAAAAGAGAAAAGCTTATATGCTCTTCATTTTATATTCTCATAGTGCTGCCCAGACCCTTCATCTCAAGATTATAAATGCAAGGAATTAATAAAGTAACAATGCCGAGCCAATGAAAACCTATGGCAGTATTCAAGTGAAAATTTTAATGATGAATTCACGGATGACATATAAATTTGGTAAAATCCAAATAAAACGATCGGATTCAAAATAATTTAGCAATAGATTGAGCAAAACTATTATTGACATGCTATGCATAGTTTGGGGGTTTCAAGGCCATTGAACTGCAGTAAAAAAATGAGTATTCATAGTTTTGCCGGGTTAAGTTGATCTTGTTCTCATTTGGGGTACCTTTTGAGAATGATTCGATAGAAAAATCTCCAGCCATTCCAGTTAGATAGTTGTTAATGAGCTTAACAAAATTTTTTAATTAACTCAAACTTGCCAACTTTCTTCCAGAAGAGATCCGAATAATAGAGGTTACCAGTACCGCCTGTAAATTTTCTGCTCTCAAACTTTTAATAATTCTCCAGGTTTTATTTTGTCGCTTTTGTATTTGAAGAAAAACATCAAAATACTCGTGATTATAAATTCCAGCAAATAAAAGCACCTAGGAGCATTTAATACTTAGATTAATTATGACTGATGAATCGGGATAATTCTCAATATAGTTTTCTGAAGGAAAAAACAAGCGTCTTGTTCTCGGTTTCGACTCTAATGTTACTATTTAATTTATTTAAAGGAAAGACAATACCAATTTGTTTTTATCAAAGGATTAATTAATTTTTACAAAGGAATTTTTATACATTTTTCTCTTATAAGATAAAAAACGGAATTATATTGATCTCAAAATGTCATCAGAATTGACACTTGAACTAAGTTCAAAATCTTTTGACGGTTATCAATATGTTTATAGTCACGACAGGTATTAATTTAAAAAATGAATTTACTAATAATTCAGTCTTAGTAGATGTTTAGTTTCACAGTTGATTGTACAATGAAATTTGGTGTTTATGTCCCAACAATAGCTGATAACGAATGTGTGCCCCTATTAATATTTCTGTCTGGTTCGTTAGATTTACTAATTTAATGAAAGAAAAAAGTGCGTTTGTGTTCTTAGGTTTAACTTCTAATGAACAAGATTTTATCACTAAAACTGGCGTTCAACGTTTAGCATCGAAATACGGTTTTATTGTAGCCAATCCAGATACTAGTCCTCGTAAGAGCAAAGCAAACTCAGTTGATCGTTTTAGTTTAAAAAAAAATTTGCCATAGGTGGCTGTAATATCGAAGGCGATCATGACCAACGGGATTTCGGTGAAGGTGCTGGATATTATATTGATGCAACTGAAGATAAATGGTCAAATAATTATCAAATGTTTTCCTATGTGAATGATGAATTTTATGAATTAATTATAAGAAATTTTAATGTTGATATTAATCGTATTGGAATATTCGGGTAAAGAGACAAGTTTACTAATAAAATATCGAACTGATGATTCTTTTTTCTGTCTTTTATTAAGGCATAGCATGGGTGGTCATGGTGCATTAATTAGTTTTTTTAAATGCCCCGGTCAATACAAATCTGTGTCAGCGTTTGCACCGATCTGTAGTACATTGAAATGTGAATGGAGTAGAAATGCATTTACGAAATTTTTAGGACAAGGTTTGATCTATTTGTTTTCGTGAAATTCAAAACAACGACTTCATTCTTTTCAGATGAAACCCTTTGGAAAGAATATGATGCTTGTGAACTTGTTTCTTTATATCATGGTCCAATGCCGTATGCGCCAGTTTTAATTGATCAAGGTTCAAATGATCAATACAAAGATGATTATTTGTTTCCAGATAAACTTCTTGAAGCTTGTTGCAATGCTTCTTTTCCAATACAACTACGTCAACAAATCGGTTATGAGCATGGCTATTGTTTTGTTATGACTTTTTTAGAAGATCATTTTAAATACCATAAAAATGAATTTGAGCATTTGAAATAAGAAAAATAAAGCATAATACAAGGACGACCTCTACTCTACTATTAAACTGCTTTTGGTTCTTGAACAGAACATTATTTTTTCAACTCAAACTTTATCATAGATAAGATTCATCGCGTTTCAAGATTGTGAGAAACGTATAAAACCGATGAAAATAAGATTTCAGAACTTGATGTTAATAGGTAATTTTGACAACAAAAAATTGAAAGCAATATAACGCCGCCATCGAAATACGAGTAACATAATTATCATGCAAGGAAAATAGTTCCTTCGTATATATGTGCCTAACTTATTAGAAACAAGTAGCATCATTAAATTTTGATTATACTATTCGATAGAGCGAACATAATGCGTATGTCTAATGTGTCTAAAAAATAAAGTCGTCAATATATAAGCGGGAAAATATAGTTACGAAAAACCCTGAGAAACATTGTGCACAATATGTGCCCGATTAATCTATTCGAATTCTCCACGAATATTTCCTGAGTGGACATGAATACCTATGATGTTCAAGTTAAAATTGAAATATGTATCCTCTTTTTTTTCGTCATAGAAATGTGCTGCTTTCGCAAGTTTTGCAGATTTTTGCTGTTGTAAGCTTCATGACAAGGACGACTGAAAAGCAAAATTATATTGCGCAGTATTTAATGAAGGCATTTACTTCAAGCATAACGTATTGAAAACACATAGGAAAATATTGAAGAAGTATAGCACGTTTTTTAACTAATTTAAATCAAAAATAGTAATAATAATTCATGCCGCTTTTTAAAAGAAATTGAATTGATGAAGCGAAAACAGAATGTTTATTTCATGATTAGTTCTTATTTATTATAACTCATTAATTTTTCGAGTGTTGAAATTTTGGGAACTCTCTGAATTTTAATAGGATAACGAGTTTTGCACTGAACTGAAAAGTCACTAGTTCGATAGTTTCAGTGAATGCGAAAGTACCGATATATCTATTACAAGCATTCACGAAAGAAAAAAATGATTCCTTCATTACAAATCGTATGGAATGCTTAGTGATAATTGTACAGTCAGTTTTCGTTTGTCTTAGATTAGGCTTTATTTATAGAAAATTTTCATCTCTTTCAAAAATGATTTGTCATAACAAACTTCTGTATTATATATATATCACTAGTTCAAATATTTACTCTACGGATTGTAAACTTTTGATGATGTAAACATAAACACATGTTCTAATTTTCTATTCGAAGCCAAATAACATTCGTGTTGAAATACATTAATATTATTAAGGAGACATTTTGTTTATGTTTATACTAATTAATATGATGCATAGAACTGATTCCGAATGCTCTCATGATAAAATATTGTTCGCCATTAATAATTTATTTCTTGAGTTTCATAAACATAAGTATGCTCTCGTCAGATAATTCACCAACTCCCATCTTAATAATATGACATCAAGAAAAACATGAAATAGAGTCTATACTAGAAAACCTTGAAATTCATTATCTGAAACGATGAAGACAAAATAGCTGTTCCATTATCTAATGGTTACGGGGTGTGGGTGTGAGGTGTCAGTGTCTGGCAGCAGAAGAATTAAACTCACGCCGTTTTTTATTGGTTTCTATTCATTAAAAAGAATTCCAAATTCGTCTGGACGAATTCCGAATAGGGCTGAATTCTAACTTCGACCATAACACATATATATATATATATATATGTCGGAACTCGAATAGTATCTACCATAATGGAACTTTTTCATCCACGCCCTCAAGATCATCTAATACAATTGATGTTGCACGACACAATGGTATGATTTCATAAGATTTATCAATAATTGTGTTCATAACCGGTAATGAAAATCCAACAAGATCCGATCCCTCCTATTGTAGTATAGTCGAAAAGATTTTATTTACATTTGATAACAAATAGGCAGCTTTTTCACGGCCATTCATTGAACAACTACGTAACAATGAATGTATACGAACCCATCCTGGACCACAGAATAATACATTGAAATACGACAGAAGATTTAATAGAATATTGAGGCCAGTTAGTGATGTTTCCGTCCAATGTTCATCACGAGAAGCAAGTGTTAATACTGGTTGATCACGTGTACCATTTTCTTCGAAGATAAGCATTGTGTCTGATATTGGAAGAATGCCATTAACAAAAATTTCCTTCACTCGATCATTAATGTCCGTTGTTCGTGAAAGAAAATCATCGACTTTAATTAATTCACGACAGCTACTGTCATAGTCTGTTGTCGTTTTACCTAAATGCAGAAATCAATCATAATTTCTTGTTTTTGAAATATTCAGGAAACAACACAACATTTAAGAAGAAGAACAATTTTTTTCGTGAATGACGCAACAGTGTTGTGCTATGTATCACTTACGTATATCGCTCATACGCCATCGATATAGGCGGTCGTAACCATGATATGCTTTAGAGTAGTTTTTATAATAAATATGAATGAAAAACACAAATGTATATCATACCTCCGTTTATTTTAAGTTCATTTAAATATGTCTCCATGCTTAATTCCAGTATCCGTCGTTTAATGTAAACCAACGGTAGATAAAATTCGAAATCATGATGAAGATAACGAAGTGCAGAAAACACTTGACCACGAATCTAGAAGAAAGACAAACGATAGAAAGAAAAAGAAACAAATCATTAAGCATCTAATTCAAGCTTCTTCAACAGGACCGGCGATGCCTTTCCACATTATCATAACAATTGTTAACATCAGTGTTTCGCAGAGCTTTTCAAGAAGACCACCATCTTCTGGATTCCTAGACGATAAAACAGAATACGATGCATCTTCCGTACTCGTCATACCTGTAAAATAGAACTGCGTAGAGTAACTGATCATAAGTAAATGATGAAATGTGAACTATATATAGTTTCTTCCCCAGATTGAAGGTTTTCTAGAGAAAAATAAGAGAATCTTAAGAGCAGCAAAACAAGTCGAGTTTTCGATTATGTCATGGTGATAAAGCAGACTAATCAGCGAACCTAAGATCTGTCTGACTTCGGGACCGAATCGACCAACCTGCTCATTGTTTTCTTCATCGCTATAAAGATGCTTTATGCTTGTAGTAGTTGTTGTTCTTGGTACTGACCGTAGAGCATCGTTGCTACTAGTCATAGAAGTTAAATCATCCGTTGAATTTTCTATTTTAACTAACAAAATCAGAACTTCTCGACTCGACGATGATTGCAATCGTGTTGTTCTTGCTTCCGTTACATTTGAGTCTTCGCTGTTTTGTTAAAGAAATTCTGGTGTTAGATCTTTAGTATCGAGTAAAATACCAGTCAATATTAATGACAGTCTTCGCGATGAAAATGCCTCACCTAGATATTTGTTTTATTCATATGTATATATATATATATATATTCAAAAGTTTTATACTTGAAAGAAAACAAAATCAGTCGAAAAGAATAAGTACAGAAAGCAAGAATAAGACGTTTTCGTTTTTTCGTTTCCGCATATAATCGAACAATATAGAAAAGTATTCGGAAAAAACGAGAGAAAAAAAGTAACGCAGAAGTAATGTTTGATTTTCTTGCATTAAATTATCTTCGTGAAGTAAAAAAAATCGAACATTATCAAAAGTATAGAGAGACAATGACTAAAAGAAAACGATAGGGATATTTATTATATATTGTTGAAAATAACGGAATGTCAATGGAAGAAATAGATTTGTAGATAATTGTATGTTAATCAAGTAGCACTCGTAGACAACACAGGTGGTTTACTCAAATGTGATATTGGATCATAACGAAGTACCATATCATGTGCTTCAGGATGCAAGCGAAGATATTCATTTTTCGCATTTCGATATGCTTCTAACATTTCTTCATAATGTATTTTTTCACTTTGATTTGATAATGTACATCTGTTAAAAAATGAAAAAAATAACAACATTTGAAAAACTATATTTTCGTTTTACTCTAAATCATACCGTTCATTATTTGTAAAATGATCATATCCATTTATTGTCTCTCGACAAACATAACAAATAAATAGACCACAAGAGGAACAGGTCATTTTATTACATCCTTCAACTTTGTAAAAACGCTTAAAAGAAAAGAAGATAAAAGCATTCGATTATGACCAGAGAAAAAAATATTGAATCTATACTTGTGTACAGCGAGGACATTTACGTATCATTGCTTCCGTTACATGTTCTTCAATGAATTTACGCATTTCAAGTTCAACACCTTTTTCAACTTCATTACAACGTAATGGAATATGGTTAGGTTCTTTACACAATCTAAATTGGCAAAAACAAAGCAAATAACAATACAGAATGATTATTAAAAGACAAATTTACCTGCAAGTTTCTTTCATACATTCGGGATTTAAACAACGAAAAACTTTATCATCTGGATTATCAACAATAACAGCATATGGACAATAAGAACAACATTCAAGACCATCAATTTCAGCTACAAAAAAAAACTCATATACAACATGTGGATTCCGCTTTATATTACTACTATGAATAAGTGCTTTTAGTAAGATTGATGAAAGTTTAAAATGATTCAGGATTTGGGACTATGGACGAAGTGTAATAGTGGTGCACATTAGCTTCTTAAAGTTAATTATTTGGGAAAGTCAAAGTGAACATCCGTTTTTGAAATTTTTATTGAACTAAATACTTTCTGATAGGCGATGACTCATCAAAAATGTTACCATTGTCTTTAACGGAATAGGCGAACATTTTTATTTTGCTTTCGTAAACTATGATTTTCTTACTAATATTCTCTCCTTGAACTACTAAATATGATGGTCTATTCTTTTTTTTTACCTTGTCGAATATTTTCTTCTTGTATTCGTCTATTCAAACGATTTAAGTCTTTTGGTGGTAAAAGTTCACTAACAAGTCGCATTGTATATTCACCCGGACACAAATTTTCAACACAAACAAAACGACATTTGCCTTCTTTGAAGCACAAATCAATATGTGTTCGAACACAATTACTAAATAGATCAATAAATTTAACAAAAAATGAATTTCTAAATATCGAATCCAACCTACCGACAATAAAGATGTCCTACACTACATTCAACCATATCATCAATTAATAAATCTTCACGGCAGCATATATTGCAGTCAAGTGTTTCATTGTCTTTTTTTGCTCGTTTTACACGTTTTTCATGATCTTTAGAGACTTTACCAAGAAAACCTGAAAATTTGAATTAGTGTAAAATAACATTCTTAAAAAAAAAGAAAAATCTTACGTCGAATTCTAATTTCATTTTTAGCAAAACGGAGTTCATCATAAAATTCTTCGCATGGTGTATGTGGAATTGCATAAATAAATTTATTATTTTTAATTAACCATGATGTAGACGGCACTCGGCCAACACCACCAATTGCAGCATCTAATAAAAGAAATGTATAATGTAGTGAGAATACATTCTATCCTTGCTAAAATATCGAATAGTTTCTTAATTTCTCATGATTATAAACCTGATATTTATAAATGATGAATAACGATTTCGAAAGATTAAATTTAACCAATTCTCTTCTCATTTGAAAAGAATTATCTATTAAGTTATACTTTAATATTTATGTCGAATATGTAATGATCTTAAGACGATTATTTTCTTTTTCATCGATACGAAATACAAAACAATTTCTGCCAAGGCTTTGTATTAGTCAATGGTAAAAATTTCTCTTTACATACCAAGCATATCTAATGATTTTCTAATTGCTGTTCGTTGCAAGAATGCATTTGTACGAATATTGAATTGTCTTTCTAATTTTCTTACAGTTGATAGAAAATGATGATTTTCTTCTTGTAAAGTTTGTTCTAGAATACTTTTATCTATTGCCGGAAAAGCACGTACAATAAATGCTTTAGCATGATTTATATACGATTCCGATTGTTTTCGTTGTGTATCAAAGAAAAAAGTCACTGGATCGGAATAAGTCGATAAAAATTTCGGTACATCATCCATTGTCTCTGACCATGAACGTTTTAATGATATATTTCGCTCGTGATCAAATGATTTTTTCGCTTTTTTTGTATAACCATTATCAAGAAAACTTGTTACTATTTCATTAATTGAAGGTATTGGATTCATTGCTGTTATTGTACGACGTGCTGCATCAATATCAATATCAGGTATAACCGCCTCAATATGTTCAAGGATTTCTTCCAGGTCAGTTTCAGGCACAAGAATAAGTTCAGCTTCTATCTGTGGCTGTTGTTGAGTAGTAGTCGGTTCAGACACTTGTAGTGGAGGTATTGGATTTTGGTACGGAGGTACAGGAGGTGTCAAATATGAATATGGATGTGGTTGAACAGGAATAAAACCTCTAAAATAAAAGAATAAGATAATTTAAAAAAATCAAATTCACCTGATACCAAGAAAAAAACAACGTTCTACCCAAGTAAGCAAAAAATGAAGGGAGACTGCCGACATGACTAGTCAGAAATGTCCGCAGCTTCCGTCAAATCTAGTCTGAAGCGTCTTGTATACCAGTCTTGTCTAGTCAGCTAAATGAGAAGTGTCTTACAAACACGTCTGTACTAGTCTGAAATGTCCTTGAGCCCAGTCATGCCTAGTCTGTGTTGTCTGTTGACCCAGTCCAGACTAGTCAGGATATTAAAAAAAGAGGTTACACAGTGGATTTGAACATCCAGTCCAACAGTGTTCGAGATATGACGGACATCCTGACGGTAGACTAGGACACTGAGATAGACTGCCGTAAGTATATATAGTCTAAACTTATATATTGACTCCCATCCTTGCATAGAAAATCAGAAACAAACCGACGTAAACGGTATTGACTAGTCTGAAATGTCTTCAACAGCTATTAGGGCTAGTCTAAAGCATCTGCTGGGCACCTCATGGCTAGTCTTTTTTAAGAAGTGTTTATTTCACTCAATGTTTATCGAACTTTTTTCTAGCTAGAAGGACAATTAGAGAGTCTGCTGTAATCAATAGTGCATTCGAAAAGATTTAATATATTGCGTGCATCCCTGTCTTGATATATTTTATTTTATTTTGCATTAGCTTATGCTAAAAGTTTAAGAGTGTATCAAAACATAAAATAGTAGGAGCTAGTACTAACAACAAAATTCATCTCGCATCTAGGAGTGTTAATTTATATATATATTTTTTGAATTGTGATAGGTAATAATTTAAAAAAAAATTGAGAAGCACCTAAATCGTTTCATATCAAAATATAATGTTAGTTTATGTTAAATATCAATTGTAATAATTCTAAATTAAGCTAAGATAATTTCTTTATTAGATGAATGTACGGAGATTTGAGTATGAGATTAAATTAAAATAGTATGAAAAAATCTAGTTTCTTTTCGGAATAAATAAAATATTATTTTTATACTCAAATTAATGTTTTTAAAGTTCAACTAATTAATCGCACTTACTTATAAATCAAAATATATTTGTCGAAAAAATTATAAAATCTTCTTAATTTATTTTTATTTAATGTTATCTAAAGTAATTTCGTTTCGGTAAAAGATAATTTTTATTGATACATAAAATTAAAAATTTGGAGTAAAAATTGTATTAAATAGCATCTTAGAATGATCATGAGTGTTTAGAATATGACTTCTCGATCATATGGCTCAATGGTTTTGGCGATGGGTAAATGTCACATTGTATACATGTTCGAATCTAATCTTCATCCTTACATATTTCCATTCAGACTAGTCCAGACTCGTCCACTATATAAGGCTACAGCTGGCTGTATACTCGTCCCAGACGCCCTTAATTTTTCATTCATAAACCATTTTCGGACGAGCAACAGGGACACTCGCCACGACTACTCTTGTTAGATTTTATGACTAGTCGTCAATCAGAGTACTAAGACGCGTATCCATGATGGTCAAGACCTCGGACTAGTCCCAGACGAGGACTTTTTGAGACAAAGACTAGTCGAGACGGGGCGACACGACTAGAAAAGAGACTAGTAATTTAACCAGTCTTTTGCTCACTTGGGATAGACGTAACGCTTTTTTAAATTAGTTCTCTTATCCTAAGAACATGAGTCTTCCAAAAATTTGATCAGATTATGAAAATAAACTTCACGGATTTTTATGTCCTAGAACGATGAATTTAATTTTTCTATTATTTCGAAATGTTTCATAAGGATCTCTACGATTAAGAAGAGCTTTTAAGATTTTCCATTCGCTTATAAGAAGATTTGTTTTTTCTCGTTGCTCGATTCATATTCAGATACGTTGTTAATAAAGAATATGATTTAATTTTTTATTTTCAAAAATCTATACATATCGAATAAAACACTTGGTAAAGTGATTGTATAGCTTGGAGGACCCTTTACGAAATGCATTATTTCATTTTCAAAAGTACTTTTTGAACTTAGAATTTCGTTATTTTGAGTATCTAGATTCACTTAACATCCATTAGATATTCGAAATGTTGTTTATACAAAGTTCTGTTAAATGTACATTCTTATTTCGATTAATCATGTATGTCATTATAATGAAAGATTTTAGTTATAAATTCTTATAGGATTTTTTAAAATTTCCAAATAATTAAGTTTTCTCTCGCTCGTTGTTTATGTCATAGCCGATTATATTGTATAATATTATTTGTGACTCATTTTCCATTAGTAATATTAGATTTCATATTTTTTCTTTAATATTATTAGTGAACAAAGGCTTTCTTGAGGGAGAAAACCATATGTGAAATTTTCTTTTATCTTTTAACATCGGTTTAGTTTAGAAAGAAATAATTATCTTGATTATTATTCATTCCATTGAAATTAAACGAACCTAACTGGTGTTGATAAGTTTACTGTTGTATTTGTAGTTAAATCTATAATATCATTTGTCGTATCTGATGGAGTAAAACTCTGTTGTGGAGAATCAAAATTAATAAACGGAAGTGTGGTATTGGTTGGAAATGTTGTCATAGGCCATGATTGATTATTAATTGAAGTTGTCCATGGATATGTAGATGTTGTCTGTTGATTATAAGGAGATGGATAGACTGGGGTATTAGGTGTTGTCCAAGAATTCATTGTTGTTGGCATCCATAATCGATCAAATATAGTTGATGCTGTGCCCAATTGAATATTTCTCCAATCAGATAAGTCTTTACTTTGTTGATTAACAACTGTAGACAGGTTAGCTGTTGTTGTTGTTGTTTGTGTATTTGTCAATGCATGATCTATTTCATCCAAACCATCGTTTAAATCCAAATAGTTCATTATAAATAAAGATGGTCTAAAGATTAAATAAAAGAAAAAACAAGCAATCAATATTAGTTATCTTGTTCTTTATAAAAGAAAAAAATAAACGACGCGTGGGAGGAGTTGACCGAATGTGTATGTGCATATATCGGCTAGTAAACGTACGTAACAAATGAACAAATCATACAGTAAGAAAAAACACAAAAAAAAAGATTTTTTTATAAATACGCCTACATAGTAACAACAGCAATTTTCTATCTCACAACAACAACAACGTCGTAGCTTGCAAAAAAAGAAAAAGGCAAAATAAGTGTGTATGTTAGGAGAACGAACACAGCGTACGACGCCGCGGCGTGAATAACGGAAGAGGAAAATGAGAGAGAGAGAAATGTGCGAGAGCTTGGGGGACCGACCGATCGGCTATCTCTTATTTCTTCTCGTCGATAACGAACATTAATAAATGTTCGAGTGTCTAACCTATTGAACGTCTTTTTTCATGTACTATTACTTTTTTTTGTTTTATATAATTTCATAGACTAGATATTATTCGTTTTCTGCGCAGAATTGTTCGAAAGAATATTTCCTATGAAATTTCTTTCGATTTAAAAAATGATTGTTATTTCAGCGATAACAAACAGGAATATTCATTATTTTATTTACGTAAAAAAAAACAAGATTCATGTATGTGTCAATTTATTTACCGAACAGTTTTAAACAGCAGCATATATTTTCATAGATAGTTGCGACAATCAATTGATGATATAATGTGCTTTGTGGGCACGAGTTAAGGGAAAATGTGGACGCCATCATGGAGGCACATGCAATTCATTAATGTGAAAAATCTAATTGGTTGTTTTGTATTGCTAATAGAAATTATTTCTTTCAATGGTGATTCATAACGCAACTCAATAAATATTTCTGTACATGAAATCTACATGAAATAGGATTACTATCTTTGAATTTGCTATACAAAACCAAACGTAAGTATTCTTATTCTTTTATCTTCAAACTTACGACGAAGCTGAAATATTTCTGGTTGATTTAGATATTGATTGTTTGCGACGACAAGTCACATTCCTGGTCATTTTATTGGTATGATAACGTGTCATGATCATAAGCAAGATACTGTTGTAGATGATTTGTTCGAAACATCTGAAGGTGTTCATATTGTTTCAAGGGCATTTTATAATCAATCCAAATAGATCATATGCAATAGTTTATTTTTTCTATCCTATTTTTGTTAATGACTAATGATTTCTTTTTACCATTTTTCTGTAATTGATTATTGTTTTACTTTTTCTATTTGTTTGATTTAGAGGAAATTATCTTGTGATAATAAAAAGAAATTTAAAAAATCATTTCAATGCTTGTACTTATTGCAATCAGTTTCAAAACATAACTAGACTAAAATAGACGACTTCCACGATTATTTTATGCTTTGACGAGTAACATATATTAATTTGAGTAGCCCGTGTTAGCTTCAACTTCTGATTGTAGTAATGTTTTACATAAAAGAACTAAAAAACTATCGTTTTCAATCAAATTCTTTTCAAATTCGACAAGTCTCCTATGAATCATTCTTCGATTAGATAATTTCTATTAGCAATACAAAATAACCAATTAGATTTTTCACATTAATGAATTGCATGTGCCTCCATGATGGCGGCCACATTTTCCCTTACTCGTGCTCACAGTGCTTTCGATTATTGAGGATAAAAAAAGCCACATTGAAAATAAATATTGATGATATTCTTGTATATATTGAAGAATAATTTTCTCTAAATAATTTTATTGGATCAAATGTCAGCTGATGATAAATAGTATTTTTATTATTATTACAGAATATTTCGTTTGTTGATTTTTACATGCATGTTGAGGAATTCTCAACAATATTATTTGTTGACGAAAAGGAGTCGGCGTAGTGAACGATTGCATCCATATGGCTTCCTCATAATATCTAATTTTCAACCGAATCGGTAATTTTTGTTTTCTATTTAAAAAATGATTTATGCATCCACTTTATTTTTTCCTGTTTCAATAAAGATCATTTGTATTAACCAAAGGTCGATATAAAAAACCAGATCTTAATGCTCGAAATTATTATGATATTTTGGGTATAGAATCAACAGCTACACAAAAAGAAATACGTAAAGCATTTCTTAAATTATCAAAAGAAGTTAGTATATTGAAGGAATAAATATTCAAGTTATACGAAGAAAAATTGCTTTGATTTGATTTTGTTAACGGAAAAAAACAACTCGAAATTTCCAAGTAGAATCAGCATAATTATTCCTCAACTTCCTTATTATCATCATGTGAAGTTTAATAGTGTTTGAGACTTCTATCGGAAGGAGTTTCTCACTAAGCAATCATCAAAATCGTCTGTTCATGTTGACTTTTTGGATACGTGATGAGTTAAGTTGAATAATTGCATTAATAATAGCTGTATACTAAATATAAGAACCGAGTCGGTGTTTCCGTCTGGCGAAGGATAGACGAAGAAGTGAATAAGAACGACGATTTATACCTATGTGCAATTACACAGTAGACTATTGTAAGTGAATCAATAGAAATAGAATAATAGGTATATTCCAAACTTGATAAAAAAAGGCGTTTATCATTTTGTCAAAATTTCTCATCGGGAATAAAATATAAATAGTGAAACGAAAGATTCCATTGAAGTTCTCCTTTAAATGCAAAAGCCTTGAAGATTTCCTGGCAACTGTTCAATCGATTCGATAGAATAAGTACCTGTGAAGCCACAGACATCCTATTAAGCTTTGATTTTTTCGAAGGCACCGCTTTTCACATGTGCTCAGCATTTATACCTAACTACCTTCATATTTATTTGTAAAACATGTCGTGTAATTAACTATGTGTGTTCATTGAGTTTGTCTCAAATGTAAAACTTTCCCATCCGACATTCTCTCTCTCATCTGTATGATATTCATTGAGGACTGTATCCTTTTTTATTCATATTGAATTTACTCTGATTTTTATGAAATATGAAGCAAAAAATAAATCTTGCCTTTTGTTTTATGTAGTATCATCCGGATTCTAATGCAACTGATAAATCTCTTCATTCAAAATTTGTAAAAATCAATGAAGCTTTCAGTATCCTCAGTAAACAATCTACACGTACTACCTATGATCAAAGTAAGAAATTAGAAAAAGAAAATATTATTATTGGAAATAAAATATTTTCTCCATGGCAGATCTTAACCCTTCAACTACTTCTCGGTATCGACCTCATTCCGAACAATATTCATCACCCCGTCAACAACCATATGGATCTCCATTTGATTGGACATCTACAAACTCCAGTGATCGAGGTGCCAATCAACAACGATGGAACACAAATGAATCAGACTGGTAAGAAGGTGCGTTTTTTGTCAATAATATTATGAAAGTAAAAACTTTATGTTTGATGTTTCTATTTTTTTTGCAGGGGACCACCGAAATTCGATAAAACGTTTTTCGATATGCTTCGTCGAAAAATGGAACAAGATCGAAAACGTGCAAATGAACATTCATTCAGATCATCATCGTCCAGTGCACTAGCTCATAGATATTTTGGTCCATTTTCCATTATTTCATTTCTTATTGGATTCGGGATTCTACTACATGCATTGCAATGGCGGTAAAGAAAATTCGAACTGATTACTTTTTTAGAAATGATTAGTTTTTTTCTAGTATTGCAAGATACAGTGATCCGACATTTGCTGTTGATCCACGAACTCGCAGTTATCATGCTTATCGTGAATGGCAACGATTGAGTGCGCTTGAAGGTGCTGAGTCAATACCGATGCGCGATAGTTCGAAACGGCGAGAGGAAGAAAAATAAATTTTCTTTTTTATATTATATTATTTAAACAAATGAAATGAAAATAAAAACTGTGCTAGCCCTATATTTTTGGAAAAAATAACTTCATACTTTTCTATTTCTGATTCAGCGTGATACCGCTGTTCAGTATCGTATGAGACCGCACAAAAATCTAGTGATTATGGAGTATTGCTTACTCCCTGTTCAAAACTGTACCATTTTCCACCAGATAAAATCACTGTTTCTATAATAGATGCATATTGGAAAAAAAGATACTAAGACACGAACGGTTTTTAGGACTTATTTTTGTTTATGAATATTTCTATTGATTTTCGTAATTATCATTCACTCGAAATCAAAGTCATTTTAAGGGCTGTTTGCTCGCACCATTCAAAACTTAACTGCACGCAAGCTAAAAAATTTATAGAGTAAGAAACTCGGATAAATTGATCAAAACAGTCATGGATGACTCACGAAAATATGTGATGTAGAATGAACTCTTAGTTAAAATAGTAAATATTTGAGAGCGTCGCAGTATGAATTGCAAGTTTCCTTTTTCTCTTCCTTCTGATACAAAATGTTGGAGAATTCCAACATTGTTACTCATATATATATATATATATCATAGCAGTCTCAGTACTTCTTCACATTTCTCCACGGTCAACTCATACTGCAAATAGAAATTTTGGTTGCTAAAGTAGGTACTCCTCTCGAATGCATTGGAGATAGAAAATAGTGAAATTGATCTCACAACTAAATGTTCGTCAATATCAGGTCACTATAATTTCGATTTTCAATTTGCAGCAGTGAATATGTCGTATACGTATCATCAAGGTTCAGGCAAGTTTTGTAATGACAATAATGGTCAGTGCACACCATCCTACAGCGGATTCAAGGGAGAAAAAGATCAAAAAAAATCAAATCAAGGTCCGATTCCAGAAGGAAAGTATACAATCGCAAACGGTTGTGGTGATGCGCATCAGAGATGTAATTTGACACCTGATTCATCAAATAATATGTTCGGACGGTCGGCTTTCCAAATTCATGGTGACAACGGCAAAGGGGACCAATCAGCGAGCCATGGGTGTATAATTTTAAATCAAGGTGATCGAGCTGGCTTGAAAAAAGATGACAAAATTACAGTTAAGAAATAATTACTCGATCAATGTACAAGAAAAAAAAAGAATCCATTGAATAATTCTACTGTTATTTTCTTCATTAATAAATCAAAACTAAAAACATGTAGACCGGATTGATATTCTTCTATAATCCAATAAACAGAAAGAATAAAAATTAGTTCCAATCTAGAATCTGATAAATCGGAACAAAATTGAAGCCATAGTGTCTTGAAAAACGATGGAAATTTGAACATTTTTTAAGAAGATGTTGAATACTGAATCATGCATTGACCGTACATGATTTTGTGTTTCATTTGCTTCGAGAAATTTTCGACTAAATTTACTGCTATCGTCGTTATTGCAATAATACACACTATAGATGAGGGTGCTGCCATTTTTATGGAATATGTACTAAGAACGGATACGCGACAACCATTTATCATAGACAGTTAGTATGCGAAGTGGTGTGTACCTTAAGTTCTCATTCTGATGCCAATTTATAAGAGTATGTAGAGAATTCTCGAATCGAATTCAAAACAAATATCAAATATACATTAGAAGGTTGACGAGATTAAAGTAGCTCCTCTCGGGCAACGTTTTATTGAATACATGTGCGCGGTATAATTTTCAAGTTAGATGTCACTGATTGTCATTTTCCTTCTCGAATACACAGTGTTGCATTATTTGTTTTTGGAGAATAATTCAAATTAAAAAAGCAAGCAGTGCTGAACGAATAGCAGACGCAAAATAGGTGGTATATTGACTTCTTTTTCTTAATTGTTTGCCTGAAGCTAAGCATGCAGAATTAATTTGAAAAGAAGAATACAATAAGTAGGCAAACAAGTATTTAACCTGTAACATGCAAACAAATTCAGAATGTTGTAAAAGTCAGTTATCCTCCGTAACCAATCAAAACATTCACACGAGATTTTTACGACTATACGACCGAATGCATAACTTTGAATAACTAGGCAAAATAAGACTGTTATTATTATTCATATAAAAGTAGACCGTTCTTTTTATACTACAGTAAAAAAATTGCTACTTCCTTTTTTTCTTTTGTGCCACTGGTTACTATGTAAATTACCTATTTAAATTGCATGGAATGATCTCAAGAGAAAGCGAACATCAAACAGTAGGAAGGTGAGTACATGCGACGTTTTACTTGTATTTTTTTTACAATACAAAAGTATAGAAAAAGGTAAGAATTTTCGTCACACAAGTTAAAATTTTACAATCCATAGTTAAGTGTTTTTCGTGATGGGTTCATAATTATGAGAAAAACCGACAATTTTTTAAAACATCTAGTCACTCCAATATCATAGCACAAGAAACACAACTTGCCAGCCATCAATAACTCCTTCGACATGTCTGAAAGCATATAAATAGAAACGTTTCTCATGCAGAATTGTTTTGATTTTAGATTTTCATATACTTACTTGAGCGACATGGGCGTCATACTTCCAAAGCCACGTGGACAAAGAAACTGCGCAAATAAAAAAAATTCAATTAAATATTGCGAAGGAAAGATTGTTCAAAATTTTGTTCTTATTTGGTTAGATACAGGTATAACTGAAATGCAAAAAGATTGCCCCTATACTATTTCTGAATTGAACAAAATCTATAATTCAATTACACTATATACTGATTTGGATGATTGTCGCAAATTCATTGAAAAGCCACGAGATGAACAAATATTTCTTATTGTATCCGGAAAACTTGGAGAAAAACTAGTACCACTTGTTCACAAGTACGCTCGACTCGATTCCATTTATGTATTTTGTGGCCAACCGGATGCTCACAAATGGACTCAACAATGGAAAAAGATAAAACTTGTTGTCAATCAAATTGAACCTATTTGTGAAGCCCTCGTAATCGATGCTGCACAATGTGAAGAAGATTTAACCCCAACCAGTATTTTGCCGTTGAACGAATCTTCGAGTCAATCGTTAGAACAAATTAATGCGTCATTTATGTATTCGCAATTGATAAACGAAATTCTTTTGCAAATGAACTATAATACACGAGAAATAGACGTCCTGGTTGATTTTTGTCGACAAATTTACAAGGAAAATAAGGCTCAACTAAACATTATAAATGAGTTCCGAATTCATTATCAAAAGGAAACATCTATATGGTGGTACACTCGTGAATGCTTTGCATATCGAATGCTCAATCGTAGTTTGAGAACGTTTGATATTAATATTATTTCTATGATGGGCTTCTTCTTGAAAGATATTCACAATCAAATCAAAGACATAAATTCAAAAATATCCAAGCGAACCGGACCATTCGTCGTTTATCGAGGTCAAGGAATGTTAAACGAAGAATTCGAAACAATACGCAATAGCATTGGTGGTCTATTGGCATTCAATAGCTTTCTTTCAACCAGTGAGGATATGAATGTTGCTATGAAATTTGCACAAAAGTCTGCAGGTCGAGAGGGTAAAGCCTCTGTTCTATTTGAAATAGAAGTTGATCCAGCGTTAACATTGACTCCATTCGCTACATTAGATGGTGCTACTGCGTGTCAACCTAAAGAAAAAGAAATTCTCTTCTCAATGCATACCGTGTTTCGCATCTATGAAGTTAAGGAAAATAATGATCATATCTGGAAAATTAAGCTGAAATCAGTAAGCGATAAAGACTTGGCAATAACACGATTAACCGAACAAATTAGATCAGAAATTGGCGAGGGGAGCCCAATCGATCGATTAGGTCGACTAATGATTAAATTAGACGAGTTTGAAAAAGCTGAAGCATTCTATCAAATATTAGCTGAATCGACAACCACAGATGATAAGAAAAAATATGCTTGGATACGTAATCAATTTGGATATATTAGATATAAACAAGGCAGGTATAAGGACGCTCTCTCATTGTATCAAGAAGCAATGCAAATTCAAGAGAAATTGAATGATGGAAGGAATCTTGATCTAGCAACTACATATAATAATATGGGACTTCTGTATACAGAATTGAATGACACTTATAAAGCACTTTCATATCACGAAAAGGCACTTTCCATACGAGAAAGAGATTGCGATGTAAGCCTTGCAGATTTAGCCTCAACTTATAACAATATCGGACTCGTATATGATCAACGAAATGATTTTTCAGCTGCATTATCACACTATGAAAAGGCACTCCCAATATATAAAAAATGTCTCCCAGCCAATCATCCTTGGGAGGCGACGCTTTATTATAATATCGGCCTTGCTGAAGTATTATTGGGGAAACACATGGTGGGACTTGAAAATCTGCAGAAAGCAAGAAACATACGGAAAATATCATTACCATCTAACCATCCATCGATAGCATCTGTATGCAATAGCATCGGTGATACATATCAAGAAATAAGAGATTATCCAAATGCACTCAAATTTTATGAAGAGGCATTAGATGTTGGAAGTCGGGTTTCACATGTCAATTACTCAAATTTAGCTTTAACTTATTACAGAGCGTCAAAAATATTGGACAATCTCAAACAACTTGATAAAGCGCTAGAATATGCTGAACTTGCTGTGAAAACAGTTGACAAGTCATGCACACCAAATGATACAGATAAAGTAAGGTTTAAAGAACATTTGGAACAACTTCAAACAAGACAATCATGAATAAGTATCAGATATACTACTTATGATAATAAATGTGGATGTTATTTTTCTCCTCATCCAAACATTCGTTTGCATTTTGAATTTTTTGGAATACTTTTCATTTAAACGTAAGAGTCTTCATGAAAAAATAATGATAACTTGTAATTACAAATGATTGTTTCCTTTTTTTTTGGTGTGATATCAATTTTTTATTAATGTGTTGCAAAGAAAGGCATTTATGTATCCGTCCATTTTGCTTTTTTTTGGATGTATACATCAATAATTCTTGTGTTGGGCCTCGATGGTTTTGAGAGTAGAAAGCCAGAGAATATTGCATTAAGAACAGGAATAAAATTTGAAGGTTAAAGCATACAAATTAGTTTCTTCACTCATCAGATGTGGTGTTCGATTTCTTTACCAATTTTCATGTAAAAACAGTTGATTCGACAAAATTGCTTACAAAGTACTGGTAGAGAAAAAAGTTTCAATACTTCAATGATTTTGAATGCCCAACTGTGAATAAACTAAGACAATGTCCTGAATTTGACAAAAGATTTATTTGTCTCGAAGTCGAATTGGTGAACTTGGCATAGTTGCAGAACGATTAAAATCTCGTTCTGGTTTGAGTTGTGAAATATCATGAACAACTCAAAAAATTAGTGGTATACCATCCTCTTTAAAATGCTGATCATACACATTCAACAACAGTTTAAAAGGATATTTTAATACATTTTCCGGAATCAATTAATGGTTTCCCATTAATAAGTAATTATCTTAACGCAACTGATGTAATTGGGTACATTAAATTATCAAAGGAGTTTGTCTGGGACAAGAACTTATGACTAAAGAAAATCGTTTACTACCCCTCATGAAAGCGTTTTCCTATTAAGACTCCAACGTTGCCAGGGGCGGCTGAGCGTCATTAGGCTAGGTGAGGCCATAATATTTTTTTTCTGCAGTGGAATTTTATCAAAGTATCAAGCAAAAACTAAGTCTCCTTTTTATTGAACTTCAGTAAAAATAAAAACAGTCAGCACGAAAAGAAGATTAGGAAATACCAAAAAATACTGTTCCTTGCTCCTGCTTTGATGCAAAAGTCGAACACTAACTTTTCAAGTCAATAGAACGGCTTATCAACGTAATGTCATGTTTAGATGAGCAAATTATTCAAAATTCTTTTCCAGACTAAGCGATCTTTACAGATCATTAGATGCTTCTTTTAAGCTGATTATGTATCAAGTAGTATTTTCCTAGAAAAAACGCAACTTTGGCTTCGTAAATTGTATTTGAGGCTTTCAAAATTCGTATTTTGAATTTTTAAACATAGCCTTTTGGGCAAATGCTACTCACTATGCCATTCGCTACGAAATTGCCAGGAATAGGTGGGAATTTGTTTCGGCAATTCCGGAGCTGTGCCGGAAGTAATAAACGGAATTCCGGAAATTAGATGTAATTTGTTCCGGAATGTTCAACATTGCGGAATAGGATGTATTCTCACCTCACGGGTCTCAGTGGCTCCGCCGCCGCTGGGTTTCGTAGCTTATGCAAAACTTAAAAAGGTTTCGTAGAGTTCCTATTTCTTTTAGAGTATACAACGAAAGAGTCATAGTGGCAATATCAATAAGTCGAACGGCTTTCAAGGATATATGCACTACACTAGGGAGGGGGGGGGGGGGGGGGGGATTGGAACGGCGGCGCCCC